ATAGGTTTTAGATAACTCTGAATCCAATATTGAGACCTTATGCCCAAGTAGAAAAAGAATCATAGATGCAGGTTATAAATTAATGTAAAATGGTATCTATATAACAATGCTTAACTTACAGATTTATAATCCTACAGCCTTGAACAAGGAGGTGTTTGTTACTGATAAGGTAAATTGCCAAGGCTTACAAATACGATGCATACAATTTCTGAAAAAGATGGAAAAAAGATGGCGAAAAATGTAAGAATCTTTTTTTAATTATGTAAGAACCTGAATGTATATACATAAAAGTATAATTCATGAACAAAAATGATGCATATTAATAATAGTTACCAACTAGGCAACTACCAGGTACCTAGAATTTTATTTAAAAGACTTATAACAAAGTAGACTTTATTCATAAGGAAATTGATGCTCAAGTTCATACTAAAAAATAATTCAAATCTTGATCAGCATAATTTCAAAGTCATGGTCTTGCCATACAGTGCTCTTCTTAGGGAGTTGTAAGGTAAGTCATATGAGTTAAAAGATCATAAAACTCCTATTTCCTCTCTCGTCTAACATTCATAATGTATGTTTTTTGATGTATAATTTTATGGCTTTTTAAAAACTCTATATTAGTTTGGGAATATGTGCAGTTAAATAAGATTCTAATTAGACAAACACAATATAAATACTAAGACCCTAGAATTGTAAATATTGTTTATACCTATCAAAGTATGTCCCAGATAGATTTGTGTTAAGGAAAATCCCATAGAATCAGTATTGTGCAATAGATATTTCCATGCGTTAACAGCTGTGGACAGAAAACAAAGTCACATTTTTGAATACTTCATCTCTCTCCACACACCACTGCCTCATCCAAGATAAGCCCACCAACACCAGGAACTGACTCCTCATTTCAAGGCCTCATTCCTGGTTATAAGTCCCTTTTAGAGAGAAAATTTCATCTACCAAGTAACTCTCTTCTCTACCACTACTGGGCCTGACATTTCACATGGTGTCCCTGTTGAAACCCAGATAGTTCTATCACTTATGCATGATCCAGCTTGTTTCCTGACAGATTTATGGCAAAATGGCACACACCTCCACCAAAAATCTTTCAACCCATCAGCTCTATGACAACTGTCCACTACCAGGGAGAGTTCCTTCAGTTCAGGCTTTTCTACCAATGGGAATGGAACTTACCTGAAGTTTATTCAACCAGCCTGTAGAGGACAAAAGACTGAAAGATAAGCAACACATGAAGGGAGGCTATGAGAATCTGGTCTTCATGAACCAAATAAATTACCACTTGATCAATCATTGGTTTCATTAAAATAAAACCCCAAGGCCAAAAAAAAAGGGGGGTGGTAAACACAGCCCCCACGCTATACTGACTGGATTCATGTCACTTGGGTCCATGGGCTTCTGGACATTTCAACAGATCGTCCAAATTCGATTTTGCTTCTCAGTTATTTCAGCCTTATCCATATGCACAAGCAGCCATCTTCCCCAAGACACAGTCAGGACTGGGATGACTGGATCCAGGATTTCAGATCTCAGCATCTGCGAAGAGTTATCATATTCTCTCTCCCTCTTTCTCTCTCTTCCTTCCTCTCTGCTCCCTCTCTTCCTCCCTCCCTCCACCCGCACCTCCTCCCTTCTGTCTCCCCACAAAACCCCTACTTCCCAAGAGCAGAATACTTCACTTCTTTTCATTCTCAAGATCCGTCCCCCTTTTCATTCTCCAGGGATGGTTTGTTTGTTTTTGTTTTTTTTTTTCTGGAAAAAATCCAACCATGTTATAATTGAAAAAGTCCCTTTCAGAGTCTGTTTTGCTTCCAATAAGATCAACTGTGTTGAGTTGCAAATCTAGCAATGAGAGATATTCATATTGTACAAAAGTCCATCCTGAGAATAGGTTCAAGAGTTTGGGATGTGATGAATGAAATGTGCTTTAGGACATGAGAATGTCAAAATTTTATAAGAAGATAGTCTAACCCATGAATGTGTATTAAAGTTACACACTTTGACCACAGCCATCTACTTATATTCATGGTAAGAACCTAAATGAGCTTATTAAATCACCTATTAAACATAGAGTTCTCCAAGGAACTGTCTCTCACGTTAAACACTGCTCTCTCCATAACAAGAAAAAGCATTAGTACCTCTAAAGAAGGGCCTAAGAATATATGTAAACTCTAGATAAAGTTCAGAAACTGAGTATCAAGGGCCCTTGGTTTTGTATTCTCTAAGAAAATAATGCACAACAGTTAGAAATGCTTGGTGACATATTAATGAAAGTCAGCCTGCATAACTTTAATTGGGTACTGGAAATTGTTCCTTGTGTTGCCAACAAAAAACAGATGGAGAGTATCATTTCAAAGAAAGAGGTAATGAAACTTCCCTTGAAGAAATTGCTTAAGAAAAATGGTAACACTTGATAATAGAATAATCTTTAAGAACGCACACCATGTGACACTTAAGTGGAAAAAACAAAAAAAATAAAAACAAAAACAAAAATAAAAGAAGAGTAAACACACTAACTTCATTCCTAACACGTATTGATCTGATGTCTAGAGAGTGCCAGCTCCCTACCCAACAGCTATCTCATCATTGGACCTCTCATGATATTGCCAGTTACAAGGAAGAGAATGTTCTGGCCATCTGCCTCATCTGAGGTTTATTCACACGAGTGGTAGAGAACCCAAGTCTAAAAGATAAGCAACACGTGTAGACAGATTATGAGATTCTGGACATCATGAACCAAATAACTTACCAATTGCTTAATCCCTGGCTTCAACAAAATAAAACTCCAGTGGAAAGAAGATTCTCATGACTCATGGGGAAGGGAAATTTTCTCATTCCAGTAAATGAATTTCTGACACATATCCACAGCTGTTATATAGCCATAATTAAGACTGGCTCAATTTGAGTGGATAATCTATCATTAATCATTCAAAATAAATAGGTACTCCAAACAAAACATATCTTTGTGTAGCATTTTAGAATAGGTAGAATAACAGATTCTACAGACTTTTTCAAGTTCCTAGCCACCCTCTTGTGACAACTCATCACCCTTTCCTACACCCGACTTTATGTTGTTCTCCCTTGCTGTCCACGATCAGCAATGTCTCTGACTCTATTCTTCCTTCACATCCTTGATCTACTGGCATCGCATCCAGCACTGACAACCAGTGGATCAATCTGTGGTGAATTCATTACTGAACAATTGAAAACTCATTCTTTTTTTTTTTTTTTTTTTTTAATTTTTTTTTTCAACGTGTATTTTTATTTTTTATTTTTGGGACAGAGAGAGACAGAGCATGAACGGGGGAGGGGCAGAGAGAGAGGGAGACACAGAATCAGAAACAGTCTCCAGGCTCTGAGCCATCAGCCCAGAGCTGGACGCGGGGCTCGAACTCACGGACCGCGAGATCGTGACCTGGCTGAAGTCAGACGCTTAACCGACTGCGCCACCCAGGCGCCCCTGAAAACTCATTCTAACTCCAGTCTCCAACATTGGGAATACTGTCTGTAACCTGATTTTGCTTCTACCTGACTTTACGGGCTTAAGTGAGTCATGACACTTTCTGGGTTTTAACTTCCCTGTTGTTAAAGTGAAGGGTAAGACTAGATGACTCTGAGTCCCCTTCCAGTTATCACATTCTCATTCTTGAACTCATAGCAACATCAAAGTAGTTTCTAATTCTTAAAATACTTCCTTTGAATGCACCACTAAATTTGACCTTCATACAGCCGTTGGAGGTTGGTAAGGTAAATATTACTAGTTCCATTTTGTAATGAGAAAGATGGGGTTCAGCATTAAAAAAAGTTGACTGAAGCCACACCACTGGCTGCTGGCAGAAGTCTTCTGAGTCCTAATATAGTGCTTGTTCCATTGCACTGTGCTATTCCATGATATAATTGTAAGATGAACAGAGGCTCCCAGTGGGCATGCCTGGGGGACAAGAATGATCAGGATTGGGTTTTCATTCAGCTCACTGCCTTCAGGTGGTCCTTTTCTTGACGGGTGCCTGAATAATATATGCTGGTAGAATTCTATAAGGGATGAAAAAGGAGATGAAGAGTTTCAGGGAAAGGGTGAAGAAGAGAAAGGGAGAGATGTAAAAGCCACCATATGGAGTGAAACTTTAGGGAAGAAACATTCTTGAGGAGGACTTTTAAGAAGTTTTGTTCTAAGGTGTACATTGAAATCCTATCTTCCTTATCCATGATAAAGCAACAGTAAAAACCAACATCTTTTTTTAATGTTTTTGAGTTAGACCTGTATTTTATTTTGATTTTTACATGAATGAATTTCTCAGATGGGTCCCAACATTTGTGTTATAGTAAGAGGAAGAACACTTTTACATATCATCAGTCCCACTGAGCCAAATTAGACAAAGCAATAAGTTCCCCTCTGTCTCTCTCTCCCTCACCCCCCGCCACACACACAGAAGGTATTGTTAGTCATCACTTTGACCTGAGAATATATAATCTTCTACTTACCTTTTTACTGAAGAAATAGCTAACTCTGAGCCCATTAACTGTTTGATACACCTGGGAGATGTTGTGTGCCATAGAAGATTACAGATAAAGTAGGTGGATATGAAAGTGCCCTTCTATCTGACTCCAACTGAATGCTGAACCTTCAGGGTGCTGAATCTGGTGCCCATCATCCTAATGTTGAAGATTCATCTGGAGTTTAGGGAAGCACAGTGTCCTGAAAAAATAAATCAACATAAAGCCTAGGGAAAGATTTGAGTTACCTGATCTAAATAAGACCCTTTCAACCTTAAAACGTCTCCCAAAAGGCAGCATTTCCCAATCTGAGGGATCTGAAACTGTGGGGGCTGCAAATTGTATGCAAGGACTGTACAAACTGATAGGGCATATGCGCCTTTTCAACAGATAGATACCCTAAAATACAACCAAGATGGGGAAAAATGACATTGCAAACTTGAAAAGTTTGTAAACTATTGACATAAAAAGAAACACAGTGAAGTCCAACTTAATTTTAAAGGTACTTTTCTGTACTTTAGTTTTAATCTATCTTCCAAGTCTACTCATAAGACTGGCCATGCACAAAGGACAACAATAGTATTTAGCTAATTTGTTTGGCAGATGAGTACCTTTTACTCCTTCACCTTGGTAAACCACATTTTTAAAAAAGGCATTCAAAGGAGTAATTTCCATAGGATAATGGGAGTAAAACAATATCCCAAATTTCTTACTAGACATGGTGGAATATCATTTAGAAAGCATTCAAATTTAGCACAAACAATGTAGTTTACAGGAGATCTATTTCTTTGGATCCACACAGGAAGTAGAAACTTAACACTTTGAGTTCCTTCTACATGGCAAGTCCTTCAAGCACACTACTTATCACTATAATCTTAAGAGCTAGGTATTATTATTCTCATTTTAAGAAGAAATAAGGAAAGCGTAAGTAAAATGTCTAAGGTAACTCAACAATTGGGGGATGGAGTATTATTTACACCTAGAGTTCTCTGATTATGATGATTTTCCTATGCTTTTTTACTATACCATGATGCCACTACACCATAATGTGACCTTTTCACTCTACCATAACAGTTCCTTAGCAAAGTGAGCTCTGCATACCAGAAAGTACAAATATGTACACAATTTATGTCTCATGTTTGGCTCATATTCTTTTGCATTAGAAAAAGCTCAGGAAGTGTATAGAGGAAGATGTGGATTTGCACTCGATCTGCATAATTCATTAGGATTTCAGAGTACATTAGGCTATTAGAAAAGCTGTCTTCAAATATCATAGAATTGAGTGATCCCAAATAAATGGCACTCCTCTTTTCCTGCCTGAATTCTGCACCTACTGAGAGACAGAAAAGTGAGCAGAGGAGGGCAAAAATATCTCCTTTATTTTTGATAAGGGAAGGACATGGCTTTCAGTCTATCTGCCAAGTGGGCCTTCTGATATAATATGTACCCCCAGAATTAGGCAGGCTTGCCTCCTTACCACAGACCAACTAGACAATCTCAGCCCTTTCCACATTGGGGCCTGTACTTGTAGAGTGTACAGCGTAGAAGAGCCAATTGGTATGGGGGGCTTCCTTCAGAAAGTTTGCTTCTAAGAAAAGGAAGGAAATAAAGGGCTGAGTTATGCATGCCCCATTCCTTTCTCAAAATCTTAAATCAGGTAATTTACTCCACCCATGCCTATGTGAGAAGGGTCTGAGGAAAGACTCTAAGAGGAGCATGTAGGCAAAAAATCCTACGAAAACAAGGAAGTTTTCAATGCCTAAGAAGTTTCGATGCCTAAGTGCCATTTCTGATAAGGAGGTTGAGCAGCAGAGAGGCCGAGCACAAAAGCTAGATGAGTATGTCCCTTACCCAGAACTATAGTCAAGCATCCAGACACAGATGAGCAGGAGAATGGGATCAGGAAACCAGAGGAAGGGAGCCTGAAGGGAACATCATAAAGGATGACCAAAAGCCAATATCTGGAGCTAGAGGATGAAAATCAGAGAAATGGAGACCAAAGTAAAGGGTGAAGCAACGAACAGTAATAACCGAACACCTGAGATAGGAGCTATTGTCTCTGCCTAAGTTTTACAAGCTCATAGCAGCATGCTAGATAGGAAAGGTACCTAAAATCATAAAAGTGCTGAAACCTACCCTCCCATCATGGAGTAAAGTCAAGGTTTCCTTGGGTTTGCCTAGCCATAAGCTTTGAAGTATAGAGAGATATCCTTGAGGTGGGATACAGAGTTCCATGAGTTTCACTCTTAGCCAGGGCCCCAGGTTCTGGTATTCCCCACAGTATATGTGGGGTTTCCCATCATAAGATATCAGGGTTGGACGTTCAAGCTTAGGAGTGGAGAAGCACACTGCTTATGTATGGAGAGTTAGAAGCTGCAATTGGAGCTGAAAAGCCATGGAATTGGTGATCTCTATTGGTTTGACAAGGGGTGGCCCTCTGGTTTGCGGCACAAGTTAATGGTCACATGCATGTCTTGGAGATTCTTTAGAATGTCCTGAAGCTTCTCCAGAAAGTAGGCAAATGCTGATATAATGTAGATATTATGAGGTTTTAACTATTTAGCTATTAAAGTTAAGAATTCATTTAGTGATTTTTTTTTTAATTTTTTTAATGTTTATTTATTTTTAAGAGAGATACAGAAAGCAGGGGAGGGCAGAAAGAGGGGGAGACACAGAATCCAAAGCAGGCTCCAGGCTCCAAGCTGTCACCACAGAGCCTGATGTGGGGCTCGAACTCACAAATGGTGAGATTATGACCTGAACCAAAGTCAGATGCTTGACTGAGCCACCAGGCACCTTGTAGTTTAGTGATTATTAATAGCAAACCAAAAACAGTGGATTAATCAAATTTAAAGTTTACTTTGCTACATAACTGAAGTCCAGAGGTAAGCAGACTAAAGCTATTTTGGCAGTTCTATGAAGCCCAAAAACTTCACAGTAGCACTCTCCAGGTACCCAGTTTCCTTCTGGCTTTGTACTTTAATCCTTGCCTTCCACATGGCTACCAACACTCCAGCCATCATGTCTATGTTTCAGGCAGAAATAAAGAGAAGGGCATGAGTAACTTTTCCTTAAGCCCCACCTGACAATTTCTGCTTATATCTCATTGGGTAGAATTAAGTCAAAGGCTACCCCATGATCAAGGAAGGCAGGGATTTGTAGTGTTTCAGGTGGGTATATTACTAACATCAATAAAATGCAGGTCTGTTGGCAAGGAAGAAGAGTAGATATTCAAAAGGCAACCCACAGTCTCTTACACAGAGGTACAGAGAAAAGGGATAATGTGGTCCCAAGTCATTACTGCTATGTATGTGGACATTCTGGATAAAGAATTAGAGGGACTTCTTAATGCTACACAAATTCTATGGGGGTGCCCCAGGGAAGTTCATGTTTCAAGACTGGGTAGGGCTATTTACTTCATACGCCCCTAGGTCTGTCCTCTCTGCAGATGCAATATCACAGTTGTCTGTGCACTAAATCAGGGGTTCTAAACTACATCTTTTTTTTTAATCTCTCTTTGCCTTTTTAATTTTTTTAATATGAAATTTATTGTCAAATTGGTTTCCATACAACACCCAGCACTCATCCCATAAACTACATCTTTTGAAAGAATGCTGGTCTCTCTATACCAAAATCACCAGAATACTTACTTAAACTACAACCTCCTAGATCTTGCTACACAGACATAGTTTAGGCACCATGTTCTATGTGGTGCCATATCAGAAAAGGCTACTAAAAGCCATCATGGACTGTGTGAGGTTTAGCTGAAGGGTGTAAATGACTCCAGCTGAACAGGTACCTCTGGGCAGCCTGGGCCACCTTTGGAGACAGTGGCAGTGTTCTCTCCTGAGAAAGAAGGGTTCTCAAGATGGTGCAGGCTCACTTGCCTCCTAATGACACAGCCTGAGGGGCAGAGGGCCTGGCTGGCTTCATAGCATTCCCAGCACTCATTCAGAAGAGAAGCCAACTCTCTCAAAGAGGAAAGCACACACTTCCAGGTGTTTTGCTGATCTTCCCCATCCTCAACCCATGCCTCAACTGCTTCAAGCTAGGAGCATTGGAATGCATCAACACACCAGCAGACTCTTGGAAAAAGTTTTCCATGCCTCGAAGGCAATCTTGAGTAAGTAACTACCATCCCTTCAAGGTAGCTAACTCATTTCTGGCCTCTTAGTCTCCACATATCTTAGAATTCATAAACTCTACAGTTAGTGTTCCAATAGATAGATAGATAGATAGATAGATAGATAGATAGATAGACAGACATCTAAAAGTCTTATGTCAAATTATTCATTCCTTTTTAAAAAAAAATCGGTCCTTTGCATAGGAAGAGAAAGCTTTTAAACAAAAACATTTTAAAGGTTTATGATTATGATATCTATAAGACAATATATGAGGTGACAGGAAGAAGAAAACAGAGAAGGGGGAGGAAATGCAATACATCTTTTTACTCTGGCTGAGTCCAGCAGAAGCTAACTATAAAATCCAAGGACGAAATGATCAAGTTCCCAAAACTACACTCCCATCTACACCTTCTACCATGTTCCCAAACTCTATACTAATGTTCATTGTAGGCCCTTCCTCAAATTTTAATCTTGTACTTTCAATCCATTCAATCACCATCACATAATAAGCACACTAGTATGAAAACTCCTGTTCTTAGTGGTCTGGAGGTTCCTTAAGTGTCATCTCCCATCTTGAGACTTTAATCCCACTGATGTTCCTACCGTGGACATTCTGAAGTCATCTGCCCTCCCTACAACCAATCAGTGCCCTTGTGTACCCTTAACAGAAATTACCAACATCCTTGTGCATTCAGTGGAGGAACAGTTATATTTTAGACACTCACAAAGGAGTGGAAACAAAAGGAGCTGCCACTTTATCAACCCCTAAGCTGACCTACTCATGATCTCAGAATTCACCTGCAAGTCATATTTCATTTTAGTGAAGCACTTCTTCATGGTAGCTGGCTAATTTCTGTAAAAGTAATTTACATCCATTTCCTCTTGTTACGTCACTGGCTCCTCCCATAAGCCTAACAGGCAGCTATTAATCCATTATTTTCTCTTGGGACATCTTTCCTTCAGCTTTCATACTTTTTGGTATCCTAATATCTTAAAACAGTAAAGCTTCCAAAAATGACTAACTTAGCCTAAGATGTTATTCATACATCAAAAAAGTAGTTTTCAGAAATATCTTACA